ATGTATAACTAAATTTGTTCCTAAGCCAAGAGCATAACAAGTTACAGTTCTAGTACAATAATATTTATTTTAGCGGTGGATTTAATGATAGAACAAGTGTCAAAACTACATCAGGATTTTACCTTGATATCTCAATCCCTTTTAAAACAAACCATGTAACAACAATGCCTTGGGTAATCTTTCTTTATCCACGGATCTAATAGTCAGAACTGGCACAACAACTTGTATTTACGGAATGAATAACAATCGAATTATATATATTGATGGCGCTAGGAAGTTAGCAATTTTCCTCTATGTTTGATATTATAACACAGAAATGGAGCAATCTAACAGCTTCGGAAAATTTTACTGCAGTAGAGAGAAATACATCTATGAGGTTACGATAAGTATGATATGATCAAATTAGATACATTAAATTTAATTTGGTTGGAACTTTCTTTTTGGATTGCGTCTAACAGAGTTCAAGGATATGGTGCTACGCTAAAAACAATGCGCCTATATTGTATATTGGAGGCCAACCAGATGGTGATCTTGATACACTTCCCATACTTTATTAGATAAGGTTCGAATTATTTTATTCAATTACTTAATTTTATAATATATTTAGATACATTTTATTAATCGATATTATAAATAATGATATTTGGAGCATAGTTGTAAGTTAATCAGAATCGGGATTTTGTTTAATAAGCATGAAATAGAGTGAAATTCCCTATGATTGATTCAGTCAATATTAGGGAATATTCCCTCGCAAGTGTACATGTTATATGTATTTTCGTATATTTAATTCGTGATCCGCTTAAGAACCAATGAAAAAACATAGTAAACTGTTTACTATGTATTTTTTGCCTTTTTTATAATTGGAGTTTCCCAAAGGACTAATCTGTTTTTTTTTTTTTTTTTACTAATTAACCTCTCTTCTGCATTAAGTAAAAATTGTAGAGAAGAGAATTCTGGTCATAATAAAAGTTAAATCATTAAATCGGCCTAGTGGATTACAAGATATGAGTATTTTTGTTTTCGCGGCTTATGTTTACTTTTTTGTTTATACTATATAATTACGAAATATCTCGTAATTCACTGGGCCGATTTTAATGATTTAACTGTTATTAAGACCAAATTCTCTTCTCTATACACTGGTCAAAATTTTTTAACATAATAGGATGATATAAAGGTAACATATATAAAAACAAACATTATAAATTTGGTATAAAATAACTGAATGGTTAATAAAATCTGTCTAATATCTGTATAATATCTGTAAGCCAATAGAGTGATAACATGGGGGTGAGTCAATAGAAATCAAGCAAATTTTTTATAATAATTTTTTTTTATAACTTTAAGCAAGAATAACTTAACAAAAACTTGACCAGATTTAATAAAAATTTTTTAAAAACTTGTAGAATTAATTTATCGATCTTTTCAAATTAGTGACTCCTGCCGATCATCTCTCACACTAAAAATCAGCCAAATTTCCAAATTTGGCGCTTTTTTGCATATAAATCCAAATTTCTTGCTAACAAATAAAAATTCCCAAGATTCCTCTTCTATTTTTGCTTTTTCAATGCTTTAATAAGTTAAATAATATGGAAAGTTTTAAGCCTTTTCTTATATCATATTTCTTAATTTTTTTAAAACTTTGAACAAAGATATTTTGACAGCCACCAAGTCAAATTTGATGAACTTATCTTATTTAAATTCTACAAACCAGTATAATTCAAATAAAGAAAAGTTAAATTTGGCTTGGCAGTTGTTGTGATATTTTCTTTCAAAGTTTTAAAAAATTCTCAAATAAAAGTTGCATCAAAATTTTTTCAAACTTAATACAAAGTTATCTTAACTTAATATAAAGATATCTTGACAACCACTAAGTCAAATTCAATGAAGTTTTTTTTTTTTGAATTCTATGAACTGTAGTATTCAAATAAAAAAACTTTTATCAAATTTGGCTTGATAGTTGTCAAGAAACCTTTACTCAAAGTTTTAAAAAATTCAACTTCTATTAAAAATGATAAATTTTCTCAACTTTGAATAAAAAAATTCAACATCTATCAAATAAAATTTTTCCAAACTTTGAATTAATATATCTCGACAACTATCAATCAAATTTTGATGTTTTTTTTATTTGAATTCTACAGATATAGAATTCAAACAAAAAAAAAAAGTTTATCAAAATTGAGTTAATAGTTGTCAAAATATAATTGCACAAAGTTCGAAAAAAATTCTATTTAAATTTTTTAACTTTGAGCGAAGGTTTCTTAATAACCACCAGGCAAAATTTAATGAACTTTTCTTTATTTGAATTCCACGAATCAGTAATTCAAATAAAAAAAAATTCATTAAATTTTGCTTGGTGGTTGTCGAGATATCTTCGCTCAAAGTTTAAATAAGTTTGGGATATGAAAATCAAATGCCGATTTCCGGTGTCACACCCAAACTAACTTCTTCAAGTAGTTCAAGGGACGGGGACGTTGTAGTGTACAAAACCACAATCAAGGTGATATGGAAGGTAAATAGTAAAGTCTTTGACTAGGGCTTTTTAAAGAGGATTTCAATAAGGCTTTTATCGAAAGAGGCACAACACAGATATATATGAGGATATATAAGGTTGTATTGTATGTTTTAGAGCAATAATGTTAACAATGGACGTTTCGGTCACGTGGTCACGTGATAACGTTCAAAATGAATTTTATTAGAAAAATAATGAAAATTTAACGTGTATGAAGACACGGTTACTTTATCTAACCGATAAAGTAACTAAATAATACAAAAGAGATAAGAAATGTCTATTTCTAAAGGTGAGAATTCTAAAGGTATCGAGTTCTAAGCTAAAGTAAGGCGGAGGTAAGGGCCTTTTATACATGTTTTTCGGGAAGTATCTATTTCTACTCTATTCTCTCGTTGGTGTTTCTAATTTTATAACTAATACATCTTCATTTTATTCTTGCTTCGAAGCGAACCATATAACTAGCTTCGTTTATATTCCAGCGACGCGATATTCTGCGTCTTTAACTTCGCATTGTTAAGCAGATCATGCACATTTATGGGCATACATGACTGCGGCATCCGGGAACTGAAGGGACCCCGAATTTCTAATGTAACACCGGATTTACAGATTCTAAGTGATGTGTGATCTACAAAATTTGATGGACACACTAATTTGAAAAGAGCGAGCTCATGCTGTTCTCGTAATATAGAATTATGTGCCCATGATTTTACTCAGGAACAAAGAATGCCGCTCTGTAATCCTACTATATATGTTCGAGATTTTGTGGATTCTTAATCCACTTAAGTGGATTTCGAATCCAGAAACAACTTACTGCGCTTTTCAAATTACTGTGTCCATCAAATGATCGAGTGATGCTGGAGAATCGAAATATAATGGGGAATCTTGAGAATTTTTTGTTTCTGACATTTTAATTAGATTTATTTATGAGAAAGTGCCAAAATTTGCCAAAATTTTCAGATTTCCGTGTGATGGGCGATCATTTGATGGACACAGTAATTTGAAAAGCGCAGTAATGTGATGACCACTACAATACAAAAATAACTTTAGTAGAATCACCTTAAAAAGAGCACATGGCAACTAATTATACTGTTATAATGGGCATCAGGACTTCCAGCTTCTAATATTACGTAGGATGCTACACGTAATTTTTGGAACGCAAGCACACATCCTGCAATACCAGCTTCCACGATAATAAAATCATAAAATTCTTTAGTTTTAAAATTTGAATGTTTATCATTATCACAAACATTCTTAATTCAACATTCACAAATTTTAGTATCATTGAATTTTGATTTTTCTCAAGTACGCTTTTTTTATGTTATGATCAATTACGATCGTACTGACATTATTAAGAATGCCAATGTGACTTTTTCGTTTCAAGCCAATAAAAAGCGGTAATTCTTTTTAGACATTTAGTATCGTCAATCAGGTGCATGCATATTAACAAATTTCTTGAATTATCGATTTCAATAAAGTGAAGGATCTAGGATTCTCAATCTCTTTACATTGAAACTATGCGCCAAGAACAATATTACTTATCAACTATTCTAGGTATACTGAAATAAGCTGAATAAAGTTTTTAGATTTCCTGCATCGTACGTAAGCATTAATCGATATACTAACATGCGAGCATTTTAGCATTATTTTTTATTTTGCACATTAAAGATGAAACAACTAGTGCAAAAATCAATATATTGGTTTATAACTGTTTCAATCTTATAATTATGCACCAACAAAATTTAGTCCAGAATTATTTTTGTAATAAATTGACTGGAAATAGTCTTTCCCAATGAAAAAATTTGTCGAGTACTTAGATATAGTCACGAATTTTATTATCTACTTTTGAATAATTTCACCTAATTCATTTTTTTTCAATTACGTGCGGTACATGTCTACCAAGATATGGTGCTTAGATTATTTATAGATACATGTGATTTATCATAATATAATTAGATTTTAGAAAATTGTATTAATTATTTTTATTAAAAGAAATTTTTCATAATAATTAGGTTTGATAGTAGAACTTTTTCGCAAAATAAAACGATGAAGTTATTTCTAAATATGCAATTATTTAAATATATATTATTAAATTATCAAGAAGAACTTGACAAATATTGAAACTGAATGAAAGACAAATCTGTAGGAAAATAAATATTCTATTTAATATTCTAACATCATAATCCCTTATTTATTCATCGTACGTACGTACGTACATGCGATGGTTGTGTTACTTTATACTGTAACATTGAAATTTTCTAAGAATTTTCTGATATATTCTTAATAGAATCCTCTTGTCACACTTTATTAAAATTGAACTGACCATCGTCATATGGAATAGTAAGAATATTCTATTGGAATTCTTTAGTGGAATTCTTATAAAAAATGGTAAAAAAGAAAATTCTGAATTTGATAATTTTGTGTTAAATAATTTTTCATTTACGCTTATATATAAACATCTTTACATGAAAAAAAAATTTTCATCTAAAATATAATGACGCTAAGTGATAAATTCTTTAAACGTTGCGAAAATTGCAAAAAAGCTCATGTAGGTCATAAGCATAAAGATGCTCATCAGTGTAACTTTTGTGATCAAGTAAGATTAAGTGGTTATGAAGTTATTAAAAAGAATGTTCGTAGTAATTTTATAGAATTTATTCCATATGAACATTTTATTAATATTACTTTACTTACCTTGCCGAAGGTGGATTTAGCAAAATATATAAAGCAGAATGTGTTAATTTAAGACGTTGGAACAATAGTAAACAAAATTTTGGGGTTAAACGTAAATTTGATGTCGCTCTCAAAAATCTTAACAATTCGGAAAAGATGGGTCTAGATTTTATAAGTGAGGTATATATGAAGCTTAAATTATACGTAATTCAGTATTTTTTAATTGTAGAAAAAATTGTTAAAATATTTTTACCTAATTTAGCTAGAAATTTATTTAATTGATGATCCGGATAAGATCGGCATAATTACTATATTGGGACAATAGTAAATTTTGGGGATCAGTACAAATTTTTATTATATGCTGAAATCTGAGCGGAGTCGAATGAAAAGTATTTTTTTTATTAAGTTAACAACTAAAGTCAATT